CACACCAAATTTTGTGCCATATCGTCATCGTGCTTTGCAAACGAGCGGTTAGAGGACATTAGGTTGCCGAAAGGGGAGGTCCCACGCGGACATTCGCAACAAGCCGTGCCTTCGCCATAACTGCCTCGTGCTATCTGTCCGCGTTGATGTAGCCTAATGGCGACCTAATGTCCTCCCAAACGAGCCATTTTATTATTTTGTGGCAGTGGAAAATACAGAAAAGAACAAGACAAAATTCTTCCACAATATCCTGCGCTATGCTCCTTTTAGTCATGTCCGTTTATACTACAAGTAGCCTAAGTAGCATTCATCAATATTCTTGACTTTTAGGATTTGTCATTCTTATCCCTTTTCTTGTTTTCGATCTCAGTCAAAACTTTAGACACGGACTTGACTAATCACGTTTCTGAAGGGTTTTTTGGCAAGCATGGACGAGTTTAATGAGGCAAGCTCCGTAAAATGCAAGCAGGACGTGTTTCTAACATAGCAAGTGCTAAGTACATAGTATGCTATAGTATGCGTTTCGTTTTGGTATGTCGAAACGTAAAAGGGAAGTTGCTGGATGGGTTGGCAGACCTTGGGAGGGGGAGAGAGGAAAGAAGCTCTCGATCTTCACCGTCCTTTGATATGGAGCGACATTCTCGCTTCAGAAACAACATATTGCAATAAAAGTTGACCCGTGACTTACAGAGAGGCCAACTATTCAGTAAACTATACACCCTCGACTCAGCGGACGTTGCTTTTCAACATTCTCATACATCACGAACAAGCTTCAGGGGACTGACATGCTCAAGCACACGCACGTAGATTTCCACATACATTTTCATATATGGAACGTCTGTTTGTCCGCCTGTCTATATATGTAGCTCCTTCATAGAATGTTGACGACGAACTCGCCTGCGGACTTTGCGCGCACCCAAAAACAGAATAGCGTGAAACACTTAAACGTAAGGCATTACTACCCTCCTCAATCACATTCAGAGTTTAAAAACTGCCATATGGAAACATAAAAGAGATTGAGTAGAGGCAGAAGCTAACAAGAAAAGCCTTTTTGCCGAAGAGGCCTCTACACAAGACACCTATATCACTAGGACGCGTATCTTTTCGCCTTTTCTGCGGAACGACTCTCCAAAAGAATTATGAGCGTTTTGATAGGGCAGATTTGTCAAGCTTTAAGTAACACAAATTTAGCGGAAATTAGCACATATGAGCTAGAAGTAGGCAATAAAATTCGCATTAATATATTGACTGCAAGAAAAGAACATACTTGTTGAAATCTGCGTAGGTGTTCTTGTACAGCTTTTAGCCAACTTTATTCCACTCAAAGGCAGCATCCCATCAAAAATTATACGCCCCACTTAGACGTAGTTGCAGCGAGTGCGGACAAACAGTTTCGAAAAAAAGCTCATTCCTGCCATTCTCGTGCTCCCCAAAGCCTAGATTGGGTTCAACATGACGAAAAGGCTCCAAAAAAGTGGAAAACCTGAAAGCGAGATGTTGCCGGGACACTGCCTCCAAGGCTTAGCAAATTTGAACTTTCAAACACTTGTAACTTTCTTCGAAGTGTCGTTCCACAAAAAAGGATGACAGATTCGAAATAATCGTCTAATGTCTCTACAGAGTGATGTGAGTGACATATGAAAAGGCCACTCCGACCAAAACGGCTTCCCTGGTACCGCTGTCGAGACTGCTTACGCCGCCATCGTCACATTCATGAATGCCCTATATATGTGTGTATGTATATATGTGTACAGTCGAGTAGATTTTCTGCTTAATATAGTGTGCTTGCACAGTTTATGAAATGCGGTAAAATTTGCGCGTGAACAGTTAGCTGCGCCAGCACTACCGGTATTTTGCGCGCGCAACTGGCCGGCGTCACAGTCGAAGCTATTTTCTCACGCACAAATTTTACCGCATTTCACCTTCCGTGCAAGCACACTATATTAAGCGGAAAATCTCGACTGTATGTATATGTATGTATATGTTCCGCCTAGAAAGATCATTTCTGAACCGTTCGGACCAAAGTTTACACTTACGCATACACTTCGGGGGCAAAGCGCGAGTCGTAGACTACTTTCTTATTCATCGACATCCGTTCCTTCCGTTTATTGATTATGCAAATTTGAATACGGTGCTCAATGTCGGCATATTGGATAAGACATGCTGATTACGAATGCATCAGTTGTCTCTTGTAAGTTTCCCATTCTAATTTAACGATTTTTCACAAACATCAAGCTGCAAATTCGGAGTTGGTACGCTGATTTAGTGAAATAGGGAACTGGCGCACAGAATTGAGAGAGGGACAGGAAAATATTGTATGAAAGTGGTGCGGGATGATGAGCTTTAACAGATTTTCAAAACGCCAGGGACCGAAAACCGGCTATCTCAACCAGTGATGATTATAGGCTCTTTGCCATAGTATGGGCAGCGTTATGACACGAAACTCGAGTAATACGCGCAAGAGAGGATAAAAATGATAGTTACCACTTTATTGTTTACCTGAGTGAGCACATGCTTTGTCTATAAAAAACATCATCCGAATTTCATTAAATCTAATGTATGTCAAATTTCTACTTCAAGAAAACAGAACTGCTTCAAATATCTTGAACAACGCCTCGCAACAAAAACTTCAAAGTCGTATCTCAAGTGTCAAAAAGGAAACCATCTGCTAGTTGGTCTACTATCACCCTTAGGCCTAAGGCATACCCCTCGCGATTCCAGTCGATCTTGCACTGCAACTTCATAATTAGTCATCAGCGCGCTTTGCTTGGGCTTGATTTTGTGCTTTTGCGACAACTTAGAAAACACTACGCTCCTACGCATTTAAGACCTTCCCATGGTTAATCCGAAGACATCTGGCAAATCGCCAAGTCGTTTGAATGTAGCGAGAGCAAGAGGTGTGGCACACAACCACCGGATACGACCCCCCCTAACTTTTGTTTCATTCCCTCCCTCCCTCCCCCCCCCCCCATGACATAAGGCTCTACCAAGCATAATTAGTAAGATAATCGTAATTTTCATGTCAAATAACCCCTGTAGGCCAAGCTTAGCGAATTCTGAGGCTTCTTATTATCGATTCACTCGAGCGAAGTGGCCATTTTTGAACATGGACTATATACCAAAGTGAATTAGATACCTCTGTTTGTACTCAGTACTAAGCACTGCTCCCTACTTGCCCACACCATACGTTCTGCTCCAAATAGCCACTAAACTATGGAGTTAGGAGCTGGCAAAATCTCATTTGTCCCATTTTTCGTTTACAGTGGTTGTGCTTTTAACAACTATATCTCAAAAGAAAAAAAGACGAATCGAGTTCTAAACGCACTTATGAAAACTACGAGATTTAAGCCATCGAGTCGCACATATTTTGTTCGCTAAAATTCTCTTTGGAGGTAAGTTAATGGGGGGGTGGCACAATCCCACAAAAGCTGTGGCTACCACACCCCACTGACTTACCTTCAGATCATTCAAATACTTGTCTTTCCTATATCATTGTTACTGCTAAGCCTTCTCCTCTTCACAGCAGCAATTTCATTCGAAATCGTCTTTCTAGGAAAAGACATAGTCATTTTTCCTTACCTATGCAAAGGAAAATGCTGCGAAAATATTGGGTTACGGTAACAAGTCTGCGCCGCTACATGAATCGCCAGAGGCAGCAGGAATACATATACTCGATAGCTTAGATTTCGTAAATTTCACGAAAGTGATCTGAGCCTGTTTTTTTCTCTAGTCTGACATATTCAAAGCGAAAGGGACAAACAAAATTTTGACTTCCCCTTGATTCCATACGTTAGAAGCTGTTTAGAGTGGAATTTGTAATACGAGCAAAGATGTAGTAGTACTTTGTATTGAGTGCAAAAAGAAGTAGTTATCTCACCTCTGAAATAAAGTTAGAATGTTCGAAAATGATCGCCTCACTTGAATGTGCCAATATTTGGAAACCTCAGAATTCGCTGAAACTCTGCCCCTAGGGGTTATATGACATGCTGATTACGAGAATGATACTCCCATGCTCTTCACTCTTATATGGTGCTTACTATACGTATACGATGGTAGGCCAAAACATTAACGTGCTAGTATTTTGCGTAATGGACATATCTGACATTGTTGACGAATATCATGTTATTTCTGACTCAGTACCACCTCGATAACGACCCCCTCCTCTCCTTGACCCCCTCAATACGACCTCCCAGATGTGGCGTGCCACACCTCACGCTACATCCTGGGTATACCTCAAGCCTTATACAGGTTTTAGAGTTAATGATTCCTTTTCAAGACTGAAAGTGATTATTCTTACCCACAAATTGGGAAAAATTTGGAATTTATTGCTACAAATTTGCATCTGGATTGTTCCAACATTCACTTGGTTTTCGCTTACAGAAGTTTTCTTCATAATAGACTTGTTTGCCTCACACCTAATTTCCGGCTGGTTCTTGATTTTCATTTCATGTCATGAATCCATCAAAAATTAACTTCTTCAAGCTATTTTTGCTGACGGCGGATTGGAACCTCAACGCTACAATATGGAAAGCACTCATGGACATGTTAGTATACTTGATTTGCTTCTATGTAAATACGCGTCAAAAGTTAGAAGCATTCTGTTCAAGATCGAAGCGCATGGCCAAGTAACTTGCACGCGAGTTTCTTTTCGTGACAGTTTGATCTGTGCAGATGTTTTCTAACTATGGTCAGCCGCCTCATTGTGGCGTGCGGATGGCCCTGGGCGTCGACTGCAGTGCATATTCGAGTCAATCTAATAGGGACTACCAAGCTATGAGGGAGTTCACTATTTCCGGTTTCGGCCGGAATCTCCGTTAATAGCAGATCAGGCCAGATCCTTCGCCGTCTTGCCATTCGGTCGCTAGGCGGCCTTGCTCCACACCCGGGTAAGCGGTCGCCACGTGGAGATTAAGAGTTGGCACAGTAAGTCTCCTCTTGTAGGGAAAAAATTTCATTTCTCCATCAGAAAAAAAGGTAGGAGCCCTGAACATGAAACCCACCTACGGCGTCTCTAGAGAACGATGCCAGGGTCCTCAGGGCGCCATTTGGATCGGACAAAAACGACACGCTGCTTGGACCACATGTCATGGACTCTCTTATGCTGTGCTGCTAAAACGCCAGGACAGTTTCCACAAACGCTGACCTTCAGCTCTTCTCGACGCTGCAGAGCCAATCAATACCACGTCATTGCTCTGCATGAAACGAAGTCCAGGAAGAGGGACATTCGACAGATGACTGATGGGACCCTCAGAAAGTTCCATCACGAAGCACTAGCCATCGCACGACTAGACCTTCCATGCCAGAAGACCAATTGCTACTCCCAATGCCAGCAGCTGACAAATCAGAATCAGAGGCTTGCTACGAGGACGTGGAAGAGATTGTCCGCGACGATAAATCCTTCTAAAAAATTGTTGTGAGCGACAACGCAAATCGAAATGCCACTAGATAAATATAGGATCGGGAGGTTTAAATATGGCACCGGAACGAAATCGGTAACGGTCTCATCTCGGGCTTCTCTCTGCCGCACGACTTTTCTATGTTCCATCTCTATGAGAAAAACATCGCCGGTAGGCATGGGAATTGCCCAACGGAATGGCTATGCAGAGGTCGACCACATTCTCACCAACCAAAGACGGAGTTTGCTCAATGTTTCAGCAGTTTCTTCCTTCTGCAGTGTCCATCAGGGGAAGGTATGACTCAATCAAAAGCTGGAAAAGAAGGTATGCCAAAGTGCAGCAAGAAAAAAGAAAGCCATTTATGACAGTAACAGGCAAAAAGAGCTCTGAGTCTGAATGACCCATCGAGAAGGATTTAGGGTTCAACTACGACCGACTACTTGAAGGATTGAGAGCACGGAGAATGCGTCTCAGTGACCCCCGAGAATAACATGAAACGCATTTCGGTGATCACTAAGGAACTACTCGAAAGAAGATCCTTGAAACAAAATTCGAATTCATCCCGAGCGACTGACAGCCAACGCCAGTTGCGGAACAGCTTTGCAGGACGCAGAAAGTACAAGCAAGCCAAGATACAGGAAAAATCGATGGAAGACGAAATCTCAAGAAGTGTCGAAGTGACTTCTTTGTGAATATCACAAACTGCTAGGTGACATCGGTACAACAAACGGGACTTTGATTTTCCAATATAAGATGGAGTCCATCGCGAAGAACATTTAGAGCAACCTCTCTCGCTCATCAATACCGGTGCCGATGCCCGTTGCTCCCAATGGAGAAGTATCATGCGCACCGCGGTTTAGACCTTAAAGACGTCTACAACTCCAGAACCAGACCATCCTTCTATCGAACTTCTGCGAGCGAGGACAATGTCTAACGAGATTCTATCTAACATCTTGCCTACAAAGGAGAGGGTTCCCAACTAGCGTGGAACATCAAGAACCGTCATTCTCTTTGAGCTACGTTACATGCCTGCTGAGTGTAATGTCTTTTTACGAGCATTATCCTCGCTCGCATATCTAGTACACTGGATGAGGCTCAACCCCAAAAACGAGCTGGATTTCGTAAAGGGTTGAGCTGGATGGACAACATTCAAATGGCTTCAAGGGTAAAAAAATCCGTTGGGATCGCAAACTGCCTCTCGTCTCGACCTTCGTCGACTAGCCTTCAACAGCGTTGAAACCAAAATTATCCGGTCAGCGCCAGTCGATCAAGTCGGACCCAGCTTAAGTGAGGCCGTAAGCCGACTGCTACAAGGACTGTACGACACGGCGCAGCTACGTCCACCCTGGCCATCCCAGTCGGAAGGATACAAAGCGACACAGTCTCTCCGAAGCTGTTCACCGCGGCCTTGCAGTGGGTGATGAAGTCACTGTACCGGGACGATAGAGGCATACGAGTTGATGGGAGATTTCTGTCCAACCTTCCTTTTGCGGATGACATCGTCCTCTTCTCGAGCAGTATCATTGAAGCAAGAGACGATGCTGAAGGAACTAAACGAAGTAAGCAAGAAGATCGGATTGCGAATAAATCGAAGAAGCTCAGTTCATGAGGAATGCCCTTTGCGAAGATGCAGAAATGGAATTGGAAGGCACACCGATTATGGAGACGTCTTCTTACGTGTATCTCAGACGTTCGATGAATATGGAGAACGACTTGAGGGAAGAACTTAACAGGAGAAGAAGGGCAGCCTGGGCCGCCTTCGGGCCTCTGAAGGAAGCCACCGACTAACTGACGGACCCGGAGCTTCGTGCCCACCTGTTCGACTCAACCGTTCTCCCGGCGCTCTGTTACGCAGCTGAGACTTGGACCGACCCTGTAGCCACGTCGAAAACTCTACGGACCACCCACAGAGCGCTTGAGCGCAGTCTTCTGAAGATGACCCGACACAAACAACACCTCGTCGGACTTCGCAGTACGGATGAGAAGAATGTCCCGTCTTCGTGACTCGGCGGAATACGTTGCGAGAGCGAAACATCGATGGGTCGGTCATGTTATGAGAAGAACAGATGACAGATGGACACTACGAACATCTAAGTGGAGTCCTCGCGAAGACAAACGACCCCAGGAAGACCACTAACAAGACTGGCAGACGTGTTCGTGGGACGAATGAACCAGCTGAGAAATAAGCTAGCTACTTGGACCTCGACTCGTAGACGCAGCCACCGACGACAACCAAGAAGATGGTGGATGTCTGAAGCGAGGGACACGGAACACTGGGAGGAACTTCTGAGCTGCGGCAAGCACGTCACTTGAGGCGGGCCATCTAAGTATTTGAGTAAGTGAATGAGTTTTCCAAAACAAGGCAAAGTAACTGATATGATAGTGGCCAAGAAGTTCAGATCTGCTCAGACACTGTCTTCAACACAAGATTCGAGAAAGAGCGGCGCTGACTGATTTATTGAAGCTGTTATTAATTTATTGAAGTTGTTGCACGTGGCCAATGTTCTAGTGACGTTTAGGTGGTTGCGAAGGCGATCGTCGCAGTCGTTTCATGATTACCAAAGGACTATATCTCTACTTTCCGAATAAAAAATTCCATTTCTGAATCGACCCGAACCTATAGTGATACACGGATCAATCAGTTACCGTTCCAACTTTATCGATTTTTTGCAAAGCTGGGAGTTGGTAGAGGAAGTGGGAAGGGAGGAAGGGAGGGGGGGGGGGGGAGAGTGTGTGCATGCTGATTGTATGTACAGTTTCCCTTCAGAATCATCTATTTTCTTCAATGATTTCATCGTTTTTGCACTCTAAGGTACAAGGCTGGTTAAGGCGCCCGGGTAGGGCGAGCATGCTGCTTACAAAAGTAGATTTTATTGTAAAAACACTTCTTACATCTGTAGATTTTATCAAATTCTGCAAACTTTCAGCTGAGGAGCTAAGAGTCGGTGAGAAGGTAGGTGAGAATGCTGGCGAGATTAGTGAGGGCAGGAAACCTGGTGTATAAAAGTGGGACAAGGAGTAGTGTGAAAATGGAGCGGGATGTTGCGTTCCGTCATGGTAATTGAGAGGGGCCGAGCGAGGCATGTATCTCAGGAACTTTATTTTAGATGTAATTCGCTTGATTAAATCATACCAAGTGAACCGTTGTTTGTAAATGACTTTCTTTTTGTGCACCTTGTCATCTGATGACGATAGCAAAACAGAGGGCCAGAAGTGCTGACTTTGCGTTTTACTATCGAAGATACGGCTATATTATAATGGTAGTGGCATGCTATGAATATATACCGGAAATTTCGACAGAAAATGTTGAACGAATGTTGAAAGGGGCAAGCACAGCTATTCGTCTTGAGTCTGGTCATGGGTCGCTAGCTCTTGCGCCCAAACACCATTTTCTTCCCCTCGTTCCGCAAACGTAGTCTCATTCACCCGGTAAGCGCCGGGTGAGTGAGACGACATGTGCAACAAGCGAACAAAATACGACGACCGATGCTGATTGAAACAACTTGTATAATCTTTTCATCTTTTCAAACTTCAATAATGTGTAAGCGAGACAACGTTCGTGGTTTTGCTAATTATCTCATACTGGAGACCTCGAAAAAGTCACAGAATTAGGTACAAATTTGATAGCCAACCACTAAAGAAATGCTCACCGCCCGGAGGAGGTATGTACTTGCGAACGGACTGGTAGTCCGAGGAGACGGATCTTGAAGTCATTCTTTTACCCATCCGCAGCATCCGCGCCCACATGAAACAGGACACCATCTGATCGGCAATAAAATAGTCAGGCGAGGTCGAGCACGTCAGCATCACACGCCAGCGCATATCAACAAATATCTCTTACTATATCGCCATGAATAAGATCATAATCTAACAACCAACGTGTGAGTAGTGCAACCCTTCTTAGACAACGCGAAGATCTTGCGAGCGTTATTTTACAAAACATGAGCAGCCAGCGACACAACACTGGCTTGCAGAATTGGCAGTAGCTCAATTAGCACTGGCCAAGATTCAATGAAATGTCTTTTGGGTACACACTTACAACTTACAATCATGGATCCCCTTTGCTTATTTATTGCAAATCTCAAAGAACTCAGTATAGAGTTGAGATCAACTTGAAAGCACGATGAGGGAGCAAATGCGCGTGTTTGGCTATCATGACAGACTACGGTAGAATTTTCCAAATGTTTCTATGTCCGATTACACGTTTAAATTCAACTGTGTATCCTGATTCTTCTTCGTTTTTTTTCGGGGGATGGGGTGGCGAGAAGAGGAAGGATTGGAATGCTTAGTCACGCTCCGAAAAAATCTTTTGGGATGCTTTCCAAAGTTTTTGAGGTCCCATCACCTCAGAAATTCGAGGATGAGGAGGGGCGGCCCAAGCCTAATCAGATTTTAAAAAAATTTCGGATCAATTTCGATAGCTACAATTGAGAATAAGTCACATTTGCAATTTTATAACTCATGTAGGCTAAAGTCGTGTAGATTTTTCGCTTAATATGGTGTTGTCAGGTTAAAGGGTCGCGATTCCCTTTCCTGATGTGTAGCGGTACAGGTAGGTATATATATATATTTATTATTTACATATTATATTACAATAAGGGGACGAGGGGGAGAGACTGCAGAAGCAGCCTTACGGTGCACGGTCGTAGGGGGTCACTAATCCTGACTGGCTTCCGTGGCCAGCCCCCGGGAGAGCAGCTGTTTGGGCTGAGCTGAGCTGCGTCCCGACATCTCCATTCCTTTAGAAAGCTCGTCCTCGAGCTTGTTTG